AACTACCCACCTAGTTCAGTATCTACCCACTGATGGCATGTCTCTCTCATACCTAGACATGTTTGCATTGCTCTTTTATACCTTTCCATAACCTTTTTATTGCTTAGTCATGTACCTATATGTCTAATCTGTCAAACATGTTACCCACCATTATTTAGCCTAAAGCATAGACATGTTGGTCTATCATGTTTATTTTATATAGCCTACTCTACCTACCCAGTGGCATATACGTCTTGGACCTTTTCGTATCTTCTTTTAGTTCAGTCCTGTAGAATAGTGCTCATGTTTTGTTTTTTTTTTTAAAAAAAGGAAAAAGTGAAGTTTTTCTAGACATTCCATGTTACATTCACATCACTGTAAATTGTTACCAATTTTATGATGAAATGTCTGAGAGCTTGTGTACCAAACTAGGCACTGCAAAAATAAAGAATTACACAAACAAAAAAAAAAAAAAATACTACTACTAATAATGTGCAACAGTTTTTGTTTCTCAGGAAGTTTATGGGAAATGTACTAGGATTTATTTTACTGACTCCGGGTTTTCTCTTCCTGCAGCTTTTCTAATAAAACAGTATATCATAATAAATATATTACGTTTAGGGACTCTTGGATCTTATTGATGTATTTTGGATTCTGGTACTTTTGATTCTTATCATTCATGGAGCATCTTGTTTGGGCTTCCACCTCAGACTGAAACTTGCCAGCTACACAAGAACACACAAACTAAAAACGTACAGCGTTAAGACATGTTTCTGCCTAACCAATCCATCAGGATACTTGTAGACTGGCCAAATGAATGAGACATAAAACTGATGTTGATTTCCAGAAATGCTTTTTCTCAGTCTGTTGCAATTTGTTGTGCCCAGTTTGATGCTACAGATATTATGGTTCTCTAAAGACCGTGTGCTTTGTTCTGCTTTGCTTCAATATGACGCATGCAAATGAAACCGTGGAACTGTCATTCACTTGATGGAAAGCATACGCAATCTAAGGGAACCTACCATTTTTTGAGTTTGTGCTGTGTGCTTAGCAACAGTGCTATATTGACTTCTTTGATACATCATATTAATACCAAAATATTAATATTCTGGAGATTTACTAAACAGTATGAATCCTCTTGAACAGAAAACCAAACAGCAACATTTGCACCAATAGAACTAATGTGTTAGTTTAATAAACTTTCTAAAAGATTCAATACTTTTGAAAAATGATCCAAATTATTTATCTGTAAAAATTCCCCTGGTCTTTAATGATGACTTCTGAGGATGAATAATTTGGAAAGCTTCTTAAATCGGGGTCCAAATTTCAAATAGTCTCTAGATAGTTATTTACTAACTGGGAGTTGCAGACAACTGACTTAAAACATGCACTTTTTAGACTAAAATATTGAAACTGGAGAAAATTCCCTGCAGTTTTAGATTAAAATGTTTAATTTTCTTGTACAATCTCCATATTTTCTGGGGAGTGAATAACCCCATCTGCCTATACACCCCCACAATACACTGTTTAGTCAATAAACTGTCTTGAATTAAATATTTCTAAAGCTGCAGGTTCCCTACAGATTAGACGCCAAGACAAATAGAGGAGTGTGCCACATTCTTTGAAGTTTCTTCTCAGGAAGAAGTCTTGTCTTTTGTAGTTTACACATTCTTTGTAGTAGGAGGGGAGTTTGTAAAAAAGACTATTTCACACAGACATTGCAAATTCCATGAATTATTCTTTATGTCACTTAATTGGCTAAGTGACTTGTGTAACATATGCTCCTAACATTTCCTATAAAGAAGAGCATTATTCGCCTGTACTACCTCTTTGAGAATAGACAATGTGTGTGTAAGATGTATTTATATACCATGGAAAGCATTAAAACACACACACTGTATAAGGGGTAACAAACAGCATGTGGTACTGGAAGCAGACTTAATGGACCATATATCCCTTCTGTCTCCTAGTTACTGTGCTGCACAGTAGGGGTGGGACAGCATTACATTCTCACATACTCATATAGTTAATTATAATGTCATTAAAAAGAATTGCGAATTGTGAGTATTACAGTAGACGTGCAGTCACAGCCTGAAAAAGGACATATTTGTAGGGGTTAGGAAATCTACAATAGGTATCACAACAGAGGGATCAAGACAACATTTCCATCCTTCGAAATGTCTGAGAATATCTTAGTCTTGCAGTTTGATAAAGATTTAAGTCCAGTTCACGGAAAGGCACTGTAAAGCGGTAATGACATAAAATGCTGAAAAGAATTTAGAATTAATACAAATAACATTCTACTTCTACATAAACGTATGAAAAACTTTCACGATTGCTAAAGTTAGAATTGTCAAGAATTCAAAGTTAATTTAAAATTTTTATAGAAAAATAGATGAACTGTAAGCACAGCTGAGTAGGAGAAACTTTCCAATTTAGCTAATATGGATTAAATCTGCAATTCTCTGTTAATTAGAGACAATTCATACTTTAGTAAATAATCATTTTGTGTCTTTTTCGGTGGAGAAAAAAAGCGGGTCTAGGAAATAGGATTGCTAAAATGTGAATATGTATACCTTTGATATTTGCAGTGAAACAGAAATGGTTGAGTTCCTTCAGCCAATCTGTTTTTTTCTAATTATTCAATCTGGAACGGTGCAGTATTCCAACAGCTCTGGTGCAATACATAGCTGTACAAATTGGTACCGCAGTGAGCATACTTACTGTTCTATGAACTTATATCATGAGGGAACTTATTAACAGATGTTACCTCACCAAGGCTGACACATTTATAATGTTGCTCAGACGATTATGTCCTGGGCCTATTAATACACACAGTTTTCTAATTTTCGTCAATTGATCAACCTGTTAGGGATTTATTGTATTAAATCATACTGATTTAATTTTTTGCTAATGTTAAAATGATATTTTAGTAATTAAAAAAGTTTCTCATAGAAATTTACCAGAAAAAAAGAAAAATGAAAAAAATAGATACTCAAATTTATCTGAGGCATGTCTTCCTTTTTTTTGTCTCCCCCCCACCCCATTTCCTATTCCCGAGACTCTGCAGAGCTCTACACATAAAGAGAGGTTTAAGCCTCATTCCTGCCTGAGGCCAGCAGCCCTTCAGTGTCCCTTATCACTGGGATAAAATACAGACAATGAGCCTGGGGCAGCATCAGTGCCACTGCTCATGTCTGCTTACTTGTCCTCTCTCGGCAAACCTTTCTCTTCCCCCTGCCTGAAGAAGGTTATCACTGCATCCTCAGACCCATACGGCTTCCCAGCTGAAAGGCTATGGATTCGCCCCGTGGCTGTTAACTTGGCCACTAATTCTTATTGGTTTGCTGTATCAACGCGGAACAGTGCAGATTATGTCCTTATTGTAGTTAAGCATGTATTTTACTAAAACATTGTTTATTTTTCAAATCTTACTCCCCCTCTCATATGCCTAATGGCAAAAAGAAAAAAAAGTTAACCCATTCATTCAGTTTTACACACAACAAGCTTGTCTGACCATGGAACTTCTGCAGTTGAATGTCATGATTTTACACAACCAGAATTTGTTGTGAAATGAACAGGAAATTGTGAAATTTAGCCCAAATAGCAAAGTATAAAGAATTTAGTAACTCGCATGTTTTTCTACCTGCGCTAGTTTAGCCTAAATGTTTGATTCCCTGATGTAGTGAATAACTCAATGTGTGTTAAATAAAGACGCACACAAAGAGAAAAAAATACAGTTATTTCTGGTTATTTGTCACATTGTAACATTGCAAGAGTTTTATTCAGTCATTAAAATTGATGATGTGGCAGGGTTTCAACCCCATGGGGTCGTAGTCAAGACTGTAAGCCTTCATTATTTACGTGCATTAATAACTATGTATAAAAGGTATTTAAAGGTATACTATGCAACACAATTTAGTATCACCCACCTCATTCAACATAACAAGTCCCTTAACACATTTTCTATTTAAAGCAATACACCATTTTGTTGCAATTATTTTTTTTTTTTCATCACACAATTAATTTAAAGTAACATTCATTAGTTTATTACATTCTTATAATTTCAGTTTTTCATTGTGTGTATTCTGAGTTATTCAGAAACTATTTAGTCTTGGAATACACAAACAATACAATAGTTTATAGGTTGCATTTAAAAATGTATAATTTATAAAATGTAAGGAACACTATAGCATTAGAAATGCATACATGTGTTACTAACGCTATAGTGAGCTGCTAGCTGTTTGCTTTTTTGTAATTTATATTTTATTTTGGACGTGCGGTATGTATGTAATCTTAGTGTCATAATGAAAATATACGAGTTTAACTATGCAGAGGCATAGGGTATTGACAGTGAATAGTATGCTAACACATACAGTTTTCCAATAAACAATAGAGTGAATGACTGCAATTTTTTTTTTTCAAGACTAATTGTGCACACCATTCCAAATGCAAGAACTGTTGTATAGAGATTCAAAACTCCTCAAAATGTTACCAATAACTTGCATTTTAAGATTGATTTCGTAGCCATAAGAGATTATACCCTGCAGCTCAGCTAAAAATAAACACCAACTCCATATACTATGATAATACTGCCTATAGCAATCTAGAGAAAGAGTAACGGTGTCATGGTGAGAGTTATCACTGATGGGTGGACTGCTAACCCAGTGTAACTGTGGCAAACTATAGGGTGCACACGATGGGTTAAAATAGAATAGAAAGAATGTTGTGCACCACATGCATCTAGGCTTATGCATTGGATTTAACCAGTAGACATGCTTGTTATTAGCGTCCCATATGGAGGCTGAGTCCCAATTATCCATAGATGGCCACTCCATCGACCCTAGCTCTTAGGAAGAACCCTTATATGGTTCCCACTGCTCAGGTTACCCTGAACATCGTCTTGGAAAGCTGTCATGTCAGTGTGGTGTCAATGATATTCACTCCGAGTGTGTGAGTCATGCACCAAGGTCTCTCACACACACAAACGGGCAGGGCTTGTTTTTAGTTATAGAGTTTCTCTTATTATTGGTTTTTATTATTTTATACTGTATTTACTTTCAGTTCCTGGTTATTTATCCTGTTCTGCATTTGGATCCAAGGACTGGAACCTACCACCTTCTCGAGAGCTTGTGATATGCCTGTATACTACTTTTATCCTGTAAGTGTATCTTGTATTAAAGAAGTGTCTTTTACTGAGAAACTCTGCACTATTATTATTTCCTTGCCTTACGTGAATTGATGTCCTATATGTCTTGAGGTCGCTTCAAAGACTCCATTTAGTGATATGCCTACAATCAATTTGGGTTTGTGAGTGCATTTATTCTACTTCACAATCCATTTTTTATTTTGCAATATTACCCTATGTCTTTTCTGCTATTATTGTATTGCAGGGTGAAAAATAATTTACCACTGTACCCAGACCACTTCACTGAGAAGTGGTGGTTTGGGTGACTTTAGTGGTACTTTAAGCATTACCAGTAAGTACTAGAATAGTTTGACTGTACAAACAGAGATGCAGATTTTTTTCAATGCAAATTGTCATATGAACAGTCATTTACGACATTATTTATTTTATAGAGAGCAATTATGCAGTCATCAACATGTGCATATGTTATACAACTATTCACTGGTGCATTAAACTTTATGGAAAGAGAAAAGCTTTGTTCTAATCAGGATGCCAGAAAATTTCCCGGTGGACCAGCATACCTTCCCCACGGGGGAAATGAGACACACAGAGGGGTGGAGTGAGAAACACAAAGTGGCTTGGTGGGGAGAAAGAGACACACAGAGGGGCTGGGAAAAGGCGAACAAGTGACACTCAGAGAGGCTGTGGGGAAAGAGACACACAGAGGTACTGGGGCAGAAGAAAGAGACAAAGAGGTGCTGGGGCAGAAGAAAGAGACACACAGACGGGCTGGGGAAGGGCAGAAAGTGGCTGGGGCGTATAGTCAAATGAAAATTGCTTAGCAGAGAACAACATATAAAAGAGACATACAGAGGAGCTGGAGGAACTAAAGACATACAGAGGAGACATACAGAGGAGCTGGAGGAGGGGAAAAAGAGACACAGAGGGGCTGGGAGGAACTAAATATACACAAATGGTGGTTGTAAGATACACACAGGCCCAGATTGGCCATCAGGCTCATCAGGCAGATGCCCGGTGGGCCTTGATGGCCATGAACTGAGGCGGCAGGGGAGTACACAGGATCCCCCAGGCTGGTCCATGCAAGGCCTGCGCTATCTGAGTGCTGGCCCTTCTGTATTCCATGATGGGCCGTGGAGATAAAAGATCTCCTCACAGGCCCATTTGCAGTGTAATGCAGCCTCCGGCGGAAGAGGGAGACACACTCTCTACAGCACCTAGACACACATACATTACATTACACCACAAACACAACATGACTGAAACCAACTTATTAACACAATACCACACCACAATCAGCTCACTCTACACACACGCAATCCCACAAGCAGGCTCCAAACACATCTACAATACTCTTTCCTGGTATTTTTGTTTCCTGGTATCACATTTATGGAGACACCAGAGACAAGTTTCAAGCAGACACAGCACACGCATGCATTGAACACAGCACACACATGAGCATTGAACCAACATGCTCACTTTGAGATGGGGTGTGTTTGTCATTATTGATGACAAAACACACCATATCTGGCCCCACCCCCTTCTCAATGGGTCTCTGTGATTATAAAAAATGCCTGGGCTGAATTTTTTTCCCAGTCTGGCCGTGGATACACATGACGGGTGCAAGACACACAAAGTGGAATATGGGAGATACAAAACACTAAAGCGGGAAAGACAATGAAAAGAGGGAATAAGAAACTCAAAATGGGGCAAGAAATTCAAAAGGGAGGTTAAGAGAAAAGCAGATTACTGTTTCCAATTCCAGTTTATGCTGAAGAGTTTATTGGCAGGTGAGAGAAAGACATCTTATTTAAGGGACACTGTAGTCACCGGAAGCATTGAAGTTTAATGTAGCAGTTTTGGTGTCTATAGCCTGGCCCTGCAGACTGAGCACTGTAAATGAAAAGGCAGTGTTTACATTGCTGCTTAGGAGCACCAGTAGTAGCAGTCATTCAGACGGTCAGTAGAAGTGCTTCCTAGTTCACTGGTGTGCTGCACCTATGCTGAGTGTCTCCACACTCTGCATGGAGACACCAAATGTCCCACATAGAGATGTATTGATTCAATGCATCTCTATGAGGAGATGCTGATTAGCGCAGCACAGCGTTTTTCCACATATGCACAATAGCTTCCCAATGCATTCTTGATCTCAGCTAAAGTGAAGAACATACTCATAGGACAAGATAACATAATTTTTATAGCTGTGCAACACCATAATTCACCATTTCAGTCTCATTACCAAACTTTTCTTAATATTTCAAATTAGTTCGTATGAAACATCGACTATATGCATGATTCTCTGAACCAATCACAATGCTTTCCAATAGGGACCGTCAAGGAGGCAGATCAAGGGCAAAGCCAGCACAAGTCAAACAGCCCTGGCCAATCAGCATCTCTTCATAAAGATGAATTGAATCAGTGCATCTCTATGAGGAAAGTTCAGTGTCTCCATGCAGAGGGTGGAGACACTGAATGGCAGTGCTGCACACTGCAGCACTGCCCCAGGAATCACCTCTTGTAGCCATCTGAGGAGTGGTCAGTGAAGTTATCCCTTGGCTATAATGCAAGCACTGGATTTTCTCTGAAATAGTGTTTACTGCAAAAAGCCTGAAGGGAGTAATTCTACTCACTAGAACATAAACAATAAGCTGCAGTTGCTCTGGTGACTATTGTGTCCCTTTAAAATAAATATGCTCTTTTGTTCATTTTGAAGTCCTATGAGTGATTACTTTTACGTTGGAGTAACAGTTTTCAATTGTAATCTTTTTTTTTTACGCCTCCATATCTGCACACGGTGCTGACACAACGCATTATTAGGGTGGTATAGAATTTTTCTCCAGGGCTGCTTTTCATTCCCAGTCTGACCCTGATTCTAATAACTGGCAGATGATAGGAAATTGGCTGCAGTTTGGTTGTTTGGAAGTACGAGGTTGATTGATTTAGATTGAGAGGAACTGAGGGTTGGTGAGGTCAGCAGATAGTAGTGACTGGGTTTTAAAAATGGGGGAGCAGAAAAGACCAGTAAGGCAATAGCAGATAGATGAAGTGAGAAAGGGTAACAAAATGTTGAGGAATTGTATACAAGAGTAAAGTCTGTTAGGGAGTCATAGATGTTCTTGTAGTAAGGTACACATTACATGATATGGGCATGGTGAAAAGTTAATGAACGGGCAATTTACATTTTTGGCTGATAAATGATTTATTCAGCCAGTCCAGGGCCGCCACAAATGCTAGGTGGGCCTATCAGCTGCCTAGGGTGCACAGGTCTGGGGGGTGCACCCCTCCTGTTGGTCACTCCATGGGGGAGGGGGAGGGTGCACCCCTCCTGTTGGTAACTCCATGTAGTATGGCCAAGCCACAGTAGAGAATCCTCTGTAATCTCTACCAGGTCTGACAGGAAGTGAGTGCTGAACTGCTTTGTGTCAGACCGGGCAAAGGATAGAGAAGTTCCTCTACTGCAGTCCTTGGCTCAGCCACGCTCTACGGAGGAGGGAGGTGAGCTGTCACATGGGCTGAGACAACAAGGGGGGTGTGAAGAACAGGCACACAGATGGCTGATGGGGGAGGAGAGGCACAAAGTTGGCTGGGGGGCAAAGAGGCACAAAGTTGGCTGGGGGGACAAAGAGGCACACAGAGGGCTGAGGTGGGCAAAGAGGCACACAGAGGGCTGTAGGGAGGAGAGGCAAAGAGGGCTGAGGGAAAGAGGCACACAGAGGGCTGAAGGGGGGAGGAACAGGTGTACAAAATGCCTGGGGCAGACAAAGAGATGCACAGAGGGGCTGGAGGGGGGGTGGGGGGGGAAGAGACACAAGAAAGATAAAGTCTGAAAATATTGTTTATAGTGCTGAACAGTTACCATAGGTGAGGGCAGAGTGAGGTAATTAATTACTTGTAGTTATAACCTTTGCTGGCTGCTAGGGAGGTGGAGTATGGTGAGTGTTAGATATCTAGCTGTGTTGGACAAAACATAGTGAGCAATGAATTATTTTAAATCCATCATCAAGTTAGGTTTGCAATGGCTGGGGTAAGGGATGGATATGATGCAGAGGGGCAAGGATATTAGAGAGTGGAGAAAGATGGAAAGGGGTAGAAATAGAACTATAGAAGACAATGTGGACATTTTGATGGACAGAGGCAAAAAACAGGCATTTAGGATAGCTAGACAAGTGGTAGGTGTAAAGGTCAGAGATGGAATACAGAGGTTTGAAGGAATAAATCAGGCTGAGATTAAGGGTATCACCATAAACATGCATAGGGGTGACTGAGTAAGAGACAGGACGAAAAATAAATAAGAGGTTGTAAAGAAGATGCTGTGGAAGTTGTCAAACTGCAATTTGAAGTCACCAAGAATAACAGAGGGGTTAATGAACGGAGAAATAGCAGAGAAGACCGCCAAATTCATCAAAGAAAGGTCCCCATAGTCGACTGAAATTAGCATCTATTGCTCAATCTGTTTAACAGTCCTGCTGTTAAACAGGTTACAGTTCTGAAAACACCACAATTATGTTTTCATGATAGTTTATCACCTAAATAATTGGTCATGACCCAGCCACATTCATGGCTTTGTATAGATATGAATAAGTGTAACTAGAGCCAAATATTAAATTAATGTATGTAGTGTTTTGTTGCACAAACAGGTAATTATTTACATATAGTTTTGCAGTCCTACCTTTGAATCTCTACAAATCCTGTTGTAAAACCGCCTCAGGTTGTGATTGGTGTTTTTTTACTTTTCAATGTAGATCTTTGTGGTCATCTGTAGACTTGTGGGTAACAAGTTATAAACAAGAGGATAGAGCAGGACTGTAAGAAAACCCACATGTTTCTTTGAGTGTTTAGGACCGTTTGCAGATACTGGGCATATGTTGAGTTTTAGTGTACCAACTCAAAATTGGGGATTTAGCTGTAATCAATGAGAAACAATAAACATATTTGTGTAATACAGTTATAAATAAATTAATCATAGCCATGTATTGCACTTAAAAAAGGTAGATGAATAACAGCGCTCTAAGGTACTTCCCCCAATGGTTGGGCGCCTGATGGGACCAGCACACCCAATAACCCTGAATGGACTTCAAATAGGGATTATTTTGGACTTGGCTTTTTTTTATTTGTTTTTCTTGTTGGCACCTGAAGATGTCCTATAAGGAAGAAGCTCAGTGAACAGAGTATTTTATTTTGTATTTTAAATTTTTTTGGGCAATTTATCCAAACTTTGTTGGATTCCCTGTTTGAAGTTCCATACAGGGTTATTGGGTGTGATAGTCCCATTAGCCCCCCAACAATCAGGGCAGGCACCACTCTCATTTGTCTACCTTTTATGATTGCAATACATGGGTATGCTTGGTTTATTTATAATTATATTACACTGATATGTAAAGTTTTTCTTTTAGATTCCAGCTGTTTCCACAATTTTGAATTGGTACACTATTGTTGTTTTGGAAGCACATTGTTTATATTTTACAGCTTGCTGTGGTCGACTTATTGGTGGTTAGAGAACTTTTAGACCACAGTGTTACTTAAATAAATAGTGAGTTTGGGTTGAGATTACCAAATGAGTTGAAATAATTTACTGCAAAAGAGAAACTGGATTTTTATTTTTTTTAATGTGGCATTAATTTTACCATCAACTCCATCACTAGTAAACTAGTAACTAGTAAATATATTCATATCATACAGGGTTCTTTACTAAAGTGAGAATTCAAAGTGAATTTCAAATTTAAGGTCAGAGTAGCCAAATTGAAAGCATAGCAGAATTTTCTAGTTTGGTTACCTTAAAGTTAAAATTCATTTTGAATTCCACTTGAATGATCACTTTAGTGAATAACCTTGCCAGTGTCTGAGATTACGGAGTTTGTCTCCTATTTTTGTTTTTGTTTGGAATCAGATTAACATATCTAATTACAACACTAATGTTTTTGATCTCACGTAATTATTCATCATTACAGCTTAATGCATATGTTAGTTATTTAACCCTGATGGGGCTTCTCTCTACAACTGCCACTGGAATTCTATTCATTGCGCTTTATTTCCATACAATAATAATTCCATAAGTTACCCTTGTATGGTTATTCACTAAAATGTAAATTGGGAATTTGAAGTGAATATTAAATTTGAGTCAAAATGACTGAACTAAAAACAGCTGTCTTAACATGTTATTTTAGCTCAGGTAGAGTGGAATGATATTTGAAAATTACTTTGAATTCCCAGCAATTCACAATATTATCATCAAACCACCTCTCCATTATTAGAACCATCTATTTTTCATATGTGAGAGTAATAAGCAGTAATTTCAAGGTGCAATTTTTCATTCATGCATTTGTGCCAGGAACTGTAGACAGAACCAACCAAAAAATGGCAGTACCCATGAGCATGAAAGGGCTGACAACTTTGGCCTAGGGGATAATCCAAATGAGTTACTTTTTTCGCGCATGAAACAGACTGATTTCTGTGTTCCACTTACACAGAATATGCAATATATGTGTGTGACAGACAGAGTCCGCTGGAGGTGTGAGGTGTGAAATCATATATCCTTGCAAACTCTATCAGTATGACCTACGTAGCATGATGGAACATTCACAGACATCTGTGCATGCCTAAGAGACAAGATCTGTTTATCGAGAATCATACACACAGTCTGTGTCTGTGTTACAAATGTCATAAGAACCACCTCATTTCAGACTGTAGGTAAATATAAAATACCTTCAGGGGCATAATTTGTATTCACTATAGTTTGATCAATTCCAGATATCGTAATTCACTGAGTAAAGTTGTATGAGGCACCATTATATTTACTACATGGATAGGTTTAAGATATGCTGCATTTTTATTATAATTACACATTAAAATAATGTAGAATAGATATGTATTTGATAATCTCTGCCCCCCCACCAATATGGTAAACATGTAAAAGCCTTATGGTGACAGTGTCAGGATTTGAAATGTTGCAATGCGAGTTGACCCTTCTGCTTTACTTTCTCCAGGTCATCAGCGATAGATCAAGAACACAAGATCTTAGGACGTATGCTGGTTGCTATACTGAGAAAAGTTGAGAATGCATCTTGCTGTAGGAAACTCATGCTGCTTCTTTGGTGGGTATATTGTTACAGCCATGCTGGATATATCTCAAAATCTCTTTGCGATTGTCAAGAATTGTATCAAAACTCTCTTGCAGCCTATTCTGTTGATCTCTCACTTTTTGCTGAAGGCATCTGATCCACCTTAAAAGTGCAAGGCGCCTATACATGGTCAGCTGTGCATGATGTTTTTCTTTTTCTCTCTCCTTTAGCATCTCTTTGTCCTGAAGGCTTTGGTAAGCTTCTGCCAACGTATGTGAAAGGGAATCCGAATCTGATGAGGACTCCACCTCAGATTCTTCTGTGTCAGGTTCATCTGGCGTGACACCTGTTGGCACTCCAGCAGTGGTGTCCTCCCATATATTCCCTTGTATACTGTCAGGACTTTCAATACTTAGTGAGCTACTTGCATAACCATTGTCTTCTAATGGTGAAGTTGGACAGTCGTCACACTGTCTTGTAGTTTCCCCACCAAGTTGCATAATTTCTGCCCCCTCTGGTGGGCTCCTTACCTCTTCCTCTTCTTCTGATAAAGACAAGCTGATCCCTTCTGACCTGGTTACCTTCAACTGCCCCATCCCTTTCTTCTGTAAATGGCTTCTGTTATCTTCTAGTGGAGGTCTTTCTTCATCTTCCTTTAAT